AATGAGAATAATGTCAACGTATTATTTCGAGCATATGTGTTTATCTATCATCGGAAAAACTTTTCTCGAGCACAGTCATCATTTTCTTTGTAATAATAGTATGTTTTTTGGATATTGTACGAGTTGTTATGGAAAGAGCGCGTTGCTTCGAGCGTTTCGGCTTATCATCTTTCATTACTAATCTAGCCAACGCCTCAATTCACAAACAGAAAACAATTAGAGATAAGATGGTACAGCTACATGGTAAAACGAGTTCTTCTTCACTAATATACAAGACATACTGATCATTTGTTCGTTATCTTCTCTCCTCAGAAAAAAGCAAATTAAGAAACGAGAGAAAAAATCCTAATGACGACATCGTTATCAAATCAACAAGTTCGGCGTGAAATAGTAATCAATTTCATTGAAAAACCACAACCTACAATCCAGACTATACATATTCCTAATTCAATACGTCAGTTATGTGGCTCAATAATTCCTTCCGATACAAATCTACGACCGTTCTCTTTCAGTTGTCCTCGTTTAATGAAATATAGGTTTCACTCTCATTTCTCCTATCTTTCAAGACAATCTATTGCAAGACTAATGTGTTTTATCTGATTTAGAAATCTTGGTCGTAATGGACTGCGTGTCTCTCAGTTTGGCTTCGGCACATGGGTTACATTTGGTGGACAGATATCAGACGAAGTTGCTGAAGAACTAGTTACGATTGCGTATGAAAACGGAATCAATTTTTTTGATACAGCCGAAGTTTATGCAGCTGGAAAGTAAGAATTTTGTATGTACTCAAGAAAGGAAAACTGTTTGATATTCATAGAGCGGAAATCACACTTGGAAAAATCTTAAAAAAGAAAAAATGGAAAAGAACAACTTACATTGTATCGACTAAATTGTACTGGGGCGGAAAGTAACTATTTGAAAGAGAAAAAAAGGAAAATATTTATTGTTATGATTATTTTTTATTATCTACATAGAGCGGAAACAGAAAAAGGCCTTTCACGTAAACATATTATTGAAGGTTTACGGTTAAGTCTTGACCGTTTGCAACTTGAATATGTTGATATTGTATTTGCAAATAAACCTGATAGTTCAGTACCAATGGAGGGTAGATAAACGATAAGATCTGCTCGACTCATTTTGAATAAAACATTGTTCTGCTTCAAAGAGATCGTACGAGCATTCACACAAGTTATCAATGATAATCTTTGTTTTTATTGGGGAACATCACGATGGTCACCGATTGAGATTATGGTAAAACTAACACAAGAATTTAAACTCGACATCAATTGTTTCCGTCAATTCTAGGAAGCCTATTCAGTTGCTCGCCAATTTAACTTGATTCCTCCGATATGCGAACAAGCTGAATATCATATGTTTCAACGTGAAAAAGTCGAAATACTTCTACCAGATGTTTTTCATAAAATAGGTTTGTTAGAAAGGAAATTTATTGGTTTTCTTTCCATAAAAAACATTTAGGAATCGGAACGATGACTTGGTCGCCATTGGCTTGTGGTTTGTTAACAGGCAAATATGAAGATGGAGTGCCTGTGCACTCCCGGGCATCACTCCGAGTAAAGATGAAGAAGAAATTAAGAGACGATCGTTCAAATGTCTTTTAGGGTTACGGATGGTTGAAAGAAAAAGTTTTGAGTGAAGACGGACGAAAACAACAAAATAAATTACGAGAACTAACACTCTTAGCGTCAACACTCGATTGCACAATTGCCCAATTAGCTATTGGTAAATAGAAATCATGAGTTGTCCTAAATTCTACTGCTTGTTTAGCATGGTGTTTAAAAAACGACAATGTGCATTGTGTTTTACTCGGTGCATCAACTGCTGATCAGTTATATGAGAATCTGAATTCTCTACAAGTAAATGAAAAGCACAAGTTTATTCTTTCTTCAAATTGTTTTTCATATACAGGTTGTTTCAAAACTAACTCCATCGGTAATGATGGATATCGATCGAATACTCGGAAATAAGCCAAGTGTTCAGATGGCAATTAAAAATGAAACAGTTCAAACTCAACAGCGATAGCTTTGGATTCCATTTGAATTATTTATGATTTTGTAATTTTTCTTTTAATAACAAATCTTTCATGCCAGCCTGAATAAACAGAATATTTATTCGCAGAGATCATTCTAAAGCAAACGGAGTTTTACTTTCGCTTGATCCACTTTCGAACGTCTCGGGAGTGTCAATGTCGGAGGTTCGTGAACGATTTCACCAAATTTAGGTTTATCTAATCGACATACAAATAGAGATTTGTGAACGATTTCGATTGGAGCCTTACCTTGAAATAATTGAAATTCATCATTTTTTATTTTCTTTTCTTTTTTCAGTTTGAAATCATCTTTCTTCGCTTGCAACCGTCTAAAACCGAGCAAAGATGAATAAAATCATACGAAGACTTTCGAATCTGGTACTTCAATCGCTTTTCAGCCCGTTGGCTTTTCTCCTTCTTCACTTCGAATTGATGATGATCATTTTTGTCTGTATTCACCAATTTGACATCGTATTTCGACTCGTATCGCGCACGATCTAGCGCAAATTTTGCTTCCTAAAAAAAAAAGAAAAAAACAATTTCTTTCTAGGGTCATTGCAATTCGAACCACGTACTTCATCTAAACGTTTCAAATAATTTCGATCGGACTCATGAGGTTTCTGTTCTAGTTCTGGAAACTGTGCTTCTTCTTGCGAAGGTTCCTGTTTGAACTTATTCTTATTTTTTTTCTTGGAAGTCTTTCGAAGTTCTTCCGAATGTTGCTTGTTTTCTAGAAATTGCTGGAAACGATGAGAGACTTTGTTATCGACTCTTTCGCCTTTTTTTGGTGCCTGATTAGCTGAGACAAGTTTTCTAAACGAGAAAAAAAGCCGAGTGATGAAATTTGGTGGAAACAACTATGAACACAGACTTGTCAACAAGAAGTTTTCGTGCACCGGAATAGAACGGATCGATGGCTTTGAGCTTCTTATGACGACGGCCACCTCGACGTTTTCGTACGAGAACCATTTTCGAAATAGAATGAATGATTTTGATTTTTCCTCTCGCTGATAACACTCATTGGACAATAGTTCAGAAGCAATAGTCGTCGAAGCGAAAGATGGCGCAGGAGTTGATATACGTTTTCGAAATATCTGTTTAAGACTTTTCACAAAGCTCGAATGAGAATAATGTACAATTAATCAGCAGCTTAGCGTCATCTTTTTCAAATCACTGCCAAACACAAAGAAAAGTGTTCTATCGTTTCTATTCAAAGATATATAACGTAGATAAATCGGTCGTTCGGTATCAATTATTTTCTAGTCTTTCTACTATTAACAAATAAATATGGGTAAGCGTAAATCCAAACGTAAAGCACCACCGAAACAAAAACGAGTGGATACACTTTCGCTCGTGTTTTCTTGTCCGTTTTGTTCACATGACCGATCGTGTGAAGTGAAAATGTAAGAATTCAAAACTGAACTTTTTCGTCATCTGAATTCTGAATTTTAGTGATCGCAAAGCGAGTGTTGGAACAATTGAATGTCGTATGTGTCAAGAGCAATATTCGACATCTGTTCACTGTAAAGATATTTCACTACTCTGCCGTTGACTTGATAATCGTTTGTCGTCGCTTTAGATCTATCTGAACCTATTGATGTATACAATTCTTGGATCGACGCATGTGAAGAGCAAAATTGTGAATAAGTCGCTGCCTTTGTTTTTCTTTTTCTGAAACTTTCAATATTTTTGAAATAAAGAGATATCTGAAGTTGTCGTTTAATCATCAAGGGAAACAATTTAAAGGTGCACCGATAGAAGAAAACGTTTATCATATTTGTTACCCATGCAGCAAAAAGAATAACAAGATGACGTGACCAAAGAGAAAGATGCTTTCAAGTGTTTAAGCAAATAATATGACTGAGAGAAAAGATAACTGATGATGATGAATCGACACTTTTTTGTTATTGTCATTTTTTACAAAGACATAGTTTCATAATGTTGAGTCTATTTTCGTCAACGGTTTTCTTTTTTAATCTGGTTTTTATATCATCAGTAATTCGTGCGGATGATCCTTGCCGTTTTGACCATGCCAAGGGAACTATTGATTTAACTTCTGTTGGCCGAACTGATGGAAAAGCAGCATATCCTGACAAAACACCACCAACTTCGGCAGATTATAGTAAGTGAATATCTTTGTCATCGTAAAAAACTTCTATTGCAAGTCTTTCGTATTCCATAGAGTATAGTTACAATCCCTGCAAACCATTTACCGAACTACCATCTTGTGTCAACGTAGCTGCATGCCAAGGTACGGTTTCGTTTCCTTAGAATTTATCCATGCTATTTTTCTGCTCCATTTAGTATCCGCGGATGGAAAATACAGTTTTAGTATCGGTTTACAAAATAGTGCATCGTGGAATCCAGGTACTGGTTTGGGTAGTCTCCCTTCAGTGACTTACAGCGACGGTGCAAAACAAGCTAGTGTTACTTTACAATGCTCAACCGACGGGTCGGAATCACTCGAAGCATTAGGTGAATCGCCAACTAACTTCTATAAATTTCGTCTGACACACAAATGTGCTTGTTGGGATGGTTGCAAAAGTAAATACGTTGTAGAAGAGAAATAGTTTTCTTTCGAATCCTCCGTCATGTAGATTCACCAGATACAACAACGAAATCTTCGAAAGGAGGTGGAGGTGGTATTGGCGGTGGTGCAGTGTTTGTCCTCATTTTATTTATACTTGTATTAGTTTATTTTGTTGGCTTTGCATTATTTGCTCGTTTCCGTTTACAACGAACCGGTGTCGACCTTATTGCTAATCGAACATTCTGGGTTGCACTACCTGGTTATGCCAAAGATGGAGCTGTTTATCTGTACGGTCGTGTGGCAAATAGAAGTACTAACTATCAATCAGTATAATTCAGAAACATTCGCTCCTTTTCTTTTCTATGCGGAAAACTTGCAGTTTTATTTAATAAATATGAACGATCTTTAAAAAAAAACTAGACTTTACTCGAGTGTATCAGGCGCATTGATAACATGCGTTAACGTTTGGACATTCGGATTATGCTGTCGATTAACATAGATAATTTCTTCTAAATATCTTCCAACATTCGAATCTGTATGTCCAACAACAAGTGATGCATGTTCAGTAACAAACTGAACATCAGCAAGGAATTGATCGAAGCCCACACGAACCAACGGATCAACACATGATTGAGGAGCGAAAACATTGTATAGAATATCTCGCCCATGTAAATGTTCACGGGCATACGGTTCATCCTTCTGACTTGTTCTTAAACCAGTTTGTGCATAGTTTATGATCGAACTCATGACGCTGGGATCATCAGTCATGACAAATATCGTCGTATATTTCATATGACGACGTTCTTCTTCATTAACGATACCTTTAACATACATGGAAATATTTCTCCACTGTTTATGTTTTTGCCAAAATGAATCTTCAGGCATTTTATCCCCTCGACGAATAAACATAACAGCCATTTTTGACAAAGCTTCTTTATAGGGTTGATGATATTTACTAGATAAATGTTCAGACCAATAATGAGCTAATAATTTGGCCGAAGTTTGAATACGCGGAGCTAGCGGAGAGAAAAATAGTAAAAACATATAACGAAGAAATGAAGTGAAGATCTTATCTTGAACGGTCATAATTTTCGATGAACCTACATAAAAACACATCTCAGTCAATGTGTGAAATTCGAAACGACTCGACTAACCAGGGAGAACATCTATGGGCGATGCTTGAGGTACATTTCTTGGAATCCATTTCGACGGATCAAATGAAGGACTCTGATCGTAATAAATATGTTCGTTGGAATGATTGATCAAGAGTGGTATTGGTGAATGATAAGTAAGTGATTTTTTCGTTTCATTTCGATCTCGATCGAATAGCCATCGTCGGTGTGGCACATGATCATACCCAAATTTCCATATTTCTCGACTATATTTAAATCGAATTTTCGTTTCATCACGTTCGAGTAGCTCATGAACATGATTGATCACTTTGATAGCCGATGATCCCGATCCAGTTGATCTCAACTGATCGTGTAAGACTTTCAAGTCTGGATGCGTTATATGGGACGAACAAAGAGAGATAGATTGAAAATGACGAACTGTTCCTTCCTTCGTGATATCTTCCGGTGCAGCGTTCGAAGTAGCAAAACGTCGCGGTAACAGTAAGGTCATCGACGGTGAATATAAGGTTTGTCCGAAATGTTCAATAAAACAATGGTGACGACTGAAAAAACCCATTGACCATTGTTCTAAAATAAATAGTTGTCGAGAAAGACACGTGGAAAGTTTTTCCTGAGGAAATTGTTTTTCTAATAGATAATTCAGTGTTTCATATTGAGCAGCGTAGTTCCAGTGTACGTCACCTTTACTATCAAGCCAAATGATCGGAAATGATGCCGAACGAAATGTAGATTCCGAGTATGCTAACAGTTTGGAACTATCGATTTCCTGCAAAGTTTTCGGAGCGTGGAACATGCTACTGGCGATATTATCGATTTGTATAGCGTTGTATTCATGTGCAGCACGAGACTCTGGATAGAGACGAAAGTCATGTGTACGAACATTTGATGATGAGGAAGATGTGTGAGAGATAGCAACAGTTGAAGTAGATTTATGCCCTGGTTGAGAAAGATGTCTATACAAAAAATAGCAAATGAATAACGAGCAGATCATTAAAATCAATTTTCGACATCCCGAACGAGTTGTATAATATACCATGTTGATCGAGAGTTAGGATAGGGAACCAATTCTGCTATCGATGAAAAGAATGGAGTAAAAATGTGTCTTAACAAGAAATTAATGACTGCGGCGATGTGGTGTTGTACTAAAAAGAGAGAAAGCTGACTCGAGGGTATTCAGTATCTATATGATGTTAATGGTTAAACATCACAGTTTTAATCTGAAACATTGTGACAAGATGTGAGTTGGATTTGTTCTAAAAAAGGAGATTAACAGAGTAGTCATCAATTTGATTAATCTTTATAATTCATAGTACTTTTCTTTCGTATTATGTTCACGTAGTAAGTCGATCAGACTACCATCTTTAGGAGTTAAATTTTATCAATTTTTATCTGTGAACGCGAGAAAAAGGAATAATAAAATATCGATATCCTTATCCTGTGTGCAGAGTATAGAGATTCGTCTGCAGCGACTCACTTCGTGTTCCTATATTATACATCAGTAGTCTGGTTTCTCTACAGAAAATGATGTTGTGCAACGAAATATCACAAAAATTCTTTTTTTTTTCTTGTTTGTTCTGTCATTCTGTAAGAATGGGTTGCATGTTTTTTACAGTCGACAACCTTGTTCCTTTGTATTAGTTTGATAGATAATAATTTTCCTCTTTTTTTGCCTTCTCAAGAGAATATTCACTCTTCGGATGTTACACATCTGATAAATCTCGATTGAATAATGAGTATTTAACAATAATTGATTATTTTTATAAGATTAAATCAATCAGTTCTATTTATTAACTAATCGACGACTCTTGACATCTCAGTATCTCTTCGATTATTCGAAGAATGCGTGTAGTTCGAATATCAACTGTCAATGAAAGCGGATTGAGTTGATTGCATACATAAGCGTACGCTAATTCGTTAGGAGGATACGCAAAAGCACAGCTACCGCCATAACCTACATCGAAAAAACAAAAATATGTGTCAGTATACACGTAAATGTATTCATATACTTACCAGTGTGGCCAAAGACACTATCGCCGAATATTTGAAACGCATCACCATATATCTGAAAGCCTCCTTTACTAAAATCGGTTGGTATTCCGTATAAAGCTTGATCAAGTTCACCATTAGGTGTTACATTTTGTATTGCTTGTGATAAAGTCTTTTCATTAAGAAGACGTTTGGTGACTGTTCCGTTTTCATGGACGTCACCAATGAGTCGACTGTAGATTCGAGCTAACGAACGAGCATTTGTGATTCCATTGACAGCTGGTAATTGCGCTCGGTGAATGCGTGCCTTGTTATAGATCATTGTTGGTTGATTTAGAGGAAGCGCACCACTGCATGTCAACGTTTGTTCAGCTTGTGAATCTGTTTCTTTCGTTTGAGTCTACATCATTTTCAAAAACTTCAAATAGAAACATCTGCCTGTTTTCTCTTACTGGGATTTCATAAAGAGGTGCCACACGTTGTTCGATTGTCTCATCCGTTAAACCAACATAATATTCCGAGTCGATTTCTTCGCGAACAAACTGACCAAACGAACGATGCTGAGGATCAACACGATGTATCAATTCGCCTGCAATATATCCAGTTGTATGGCCATGATATCCATGAGTAGATCCGGGTATCCAATGAGGTTTCTCATTGATCAACAATGAAATCATCTTCGACCAGTCGCAAGCTTCATCTGTCGTTACGGATCGATTGATGTATGGTAAACCTGCTCGATGTGCTAATAGATCTCCAATGGTAATCATCTTAATAAACCAAAAAACACCGCTGACGATATCAAACTCGTTTTACTAAAATCTAAACTTACTTCTTTTCCGTTTGCACCAAACTCGGGCCAATATTTCGCAATTGCTGCATCATATTCAAGCCATCCCCTTTCGACACAGAGCGCTACTGCCGCACTCAATATTCCTTTCGACGTGGAGAAAACTAATTGCAATGTATCATATATATAAGGTTGAGCTTTCTTTTCAAAATCTATCCAACCACCATAGAGATCCACAACACATTTACCATGATGATAAATACTTAAACTTGCACCAATATCCAATTCATCGATGAAATTTTGCTCAAAAGCAGCTTGAATACTCTGCCAGTTGTCGTCAACGTATCCACATATATTATTCTTACTTTTTGACAATATCGGCATGAAGTTATGTTTGTATTACACACCTTTTTCTGCTTGTGCGACTCTTACCAAATGAGTCAGATGCATTCTTTTCTCCTTTATTGTCGATGGAATGGTAACACCGATGATGAAAACAGAACTCAACGATTTTTTTCTTATCAACCTCCCGAGGAACATAGTTCTGACGTATAACGAAGAGGGAAAATAGCGATGCACAACACATTTTCTGTTATTAATGAAAACCATCAAGTAAAAGTAATTGATGTTAAGATAGGACCTTTTATGTAATGTTATACTCAGCATTAAAATCATGACAGTTATTAGTGCTATGAAAGTCGTCCATATCTACTACAAGACCATTTTTTGACATCTCAATATCAGTCGAGAATTTCCGTTTGTACAAATTCAATCCTTGATGACTTCTCGCCTTTGACTGATTTTTTCACGCCTACAAGACATCTAGTCTATGTAGCATAATATACTTTCTCTCTTTCATTTTTGTCCCCAAAGAAGAGAAAATTTCATAATGAGAAATGACGTCCACATATAAAATTAATTACAATAAAAAAATGTCAAAGCAGCTTTTTCTTGTTCTTCATCTCTCCTAAGACAAACAAAACCCAGTCACCATAGCTGCTGTAAAAGAAGGATCTTACCATATGTATACAGCTAATAAAATGCCATTGATTCTACACACCATCCTATCACACATTATAAAAGCAAAAGGAAAGAAACTGATTTCCGGATAATCTTGCGTGTGAATTCCATATGCTTCCCTTTATCAAAGACCGAATCAAGAGATTGAAGTGTGAAATCACGTAAATTAAACACGTATGTTGACTAAAAATTGCTCAGGGAAAAGACACTTAGAAGAGGAAATTATTATAATAAATGCACAAATAATGAACAGTCAATGTTCGTTTACTTGCTATCTTGTGTTCTTCGGCTGCTGCACAGATTGCGGGCAAGGTATTCACATCCTGAGACTATAAAATCAATACCGAAGTTTAAAGACGAGTGAGATCATTTGTTTCACTTATTCGGCTATATCAGATGATGATTCGTGTCTAAAATGCTTGGAAGCAGCTATACATTCGCAAGACAGTTTCACCATAAAAGAGCGACATCTATCGTTGAAAGCATGAAGTCGTACGTTTTGTAAGAAGATTTTCACATCGTTTGAACGCAAACTACGTTTCTGATTGTAAAATACACGAAAATTCAGCTTTCTTTGTCGATAAAAAGATCTGTGTCTTGCGAATCGTTGAGAAATGTTTCTAACCAATTGCGCAAGCGCTTTATAGAATGATTAAAGCGTAGAACGAATAGTCGACTTTTTCCTACGTATTTTTTCATTTATTTGTTTTTGATCTTTTCTATCACGTGCTATGAATTGATTGCTTTTCAATTAATTCGTTTTGATTTTTCTCTATAGATATTATCTGAATACTGTCAAAACGTATTGATCGGCTTTCAACCGAACCATTGCCGTCATCAGATTCGATCGTTCGTTGAAACAATGAATCTGGATGCAGTGTCTGCAGCACTCGCTCAAATACCTTATACGGTGAAAAATCTATCGAAAAACAATTTCAAAAGTTCACAAATTGAAATAGCCAACGTAAATCTTGTTGTTGAATCAGTCTTTTTTCATATTCAACGTCATTTGTCTCTTCTAGCTCATAGCTGAATATGGATTCGAAGCTGAACGATACTTCTATCGAACGTTAGTTAGCTATTTGGATCTACAATTTTTCGAAGAGATCTCATCGGGATCGAAACATTCGGAAAATCTCCATCTGAACTATTGGTTACAAGAGATTCCATTGCTGTTAGCAAAGTCAAATTTTGTGACATTAATCTGCTATGCTTTCGATTCAGTATTGACACAAAAGGTACGTAGAAATTTTTCCAGCTGAATGTCTATTTGTCCGGTGTGATTAGTCAATCAAATTATCGCCATCGTCGACTGAATATTTTACCTCGTTGAGTAAATATTTCAAATTAAGTTCTGTTCAAGAACTTCTCTTCGCTCTGGCTTTGCAAAATTCGACACATATTGAATTGCAAACATTAGCTCATAATCATCTACAAAAATGTTTGCCGGAATTCATCAAAGCGACCATTGAATCAACTGGTAGAGTCTCTTTTTATATAATCTTTCTATTTCATGTTCGGATTGTTCTAGGAGAAACTCAACTAGGTGATTTACCCAATGAAGTTCTTCATTCGTTTGTTGTGCAACTTCAAGCTTATGCATCGAATGATTCATCTGTAATTACAGCTGAACAGTATGAACAATTCTTGAGTTTAATAAGAAAAGGTTTGACAATTTTCCCATGAGATGATTTATTCTATTCGATCGGTGATTTAGAATATCCAATCGAACGCATTGGTACAAATAGTTCACTATTTCTTCTTCCGATACTTTATCCATCGAATACAACATCAAAAGATCTTGCATCGAATCAATTGTTCTCAGATTCCAATAATCTCTCAGCATCCGTGGTGAGTGCACAGAAATGATCTTATGAGCCATTCATACTTCGATTCCGTAGTGGCAAATGGACGGTTCTTTATCGGATGTCATTCTCGAAATGGGCTACGATTTTACCGCGTCGGTTGAAGGTTGCCGAAATGCATTAGTTCATTTTGGTTTGCAAGAATTAAAGTCATCGACTATTGCTCGAATGCTTGCCGCAATGATTAAAACACATTCAGGGCTTACTGAGAATACACGCATCTACGTAAGTCGACTCGCAAAAGCATCATTATCTTCTCGAGCTGATGGCCACATACATGTATTGATGTAGGATGTCAATGGCGTTGAAATGAATACAAATAGTGATAAACAATCGTCACAAACATGGAATGTTGACACATTTGTCATTGCAATCAATGATTTAGTAGGTGCAATTCTTTGAATGCATACATTTAAGTAAATCGTCTTTTTTTTGTAGGTTCCATCAGTGAATTGGAAAGATGTGGTCAAAGAGCTGGATCATCCGGGATTCTTGGTCCGCGACCGACAGGCACTGATACTGTTAGTCACCGCCCTCCGACGTGCGCTGCCAACAGAACAATATATTGATTTACTCTACGGACGATGGAACAATGCTGAAGGACAGGTGAATCAACGAAAAATTTCCGTCTGAAACACCTACGCTCATATCTTGTCAACTCTAGTTATCATGGTTCGCCCAAGCAATTCGCTACCCGGATGTTTTCTGTTTCGGTGATCATCCAGCTCGTCCAGTATTGATTGATTGTTTGAAACATCCCCTCGATGACTCAAAAGAAACATGGACATGGTGAGAAGGGAATGTTTTCTATACGATCGGTGTCGAATCAATTGATTTTGTTTAGGCGTTCGTTGAATTTAATCGAATGTTTGTTACGCATTGCCGATACAGGTCTATATCCCATCGTGTTGGAAATTTTTAAACACGGTATTCAACGTTCCGGTGAATTAATCTTCTTGGGATTGTTACAACTTCATGTAAGTTTTTGCCGGTTTCTTCCATCCGACAAACAATGAGATCTATTTAGACCATTTGGACGACGTTGAAACAAGAATTATTACAACTGATAATTCCAACATTTCTTGCCACGAGTCCGAATGCCAATCCACTTCTTAACTACATGTGGAATTCTCAAGTAAGATAGAAAGTCGTCAATAGAATTGAATCAGCAACGATGCTTTTGCGCTTTTCGTAGCAGCACACAGCAGCATTGCGAACAACATTATTAACATCATTAGCTGACTGGTATAACCGTTCGACTGATAATGAACAACAGCAACGACTTGGTCGCGTATTAGAAATTGTCCAAGACTTAAAAGCCTTACCAATCCTGCTTGCAGCACAACCGATCACATTCATTCTTGATTTAGCTTGTCTAGCGTCAAAACGTGGCTACTTAAAATTAGATAAATGGTTAACTGATAAGCTACGCGACCATCAAGTAGAAATTTTATTTGATTTTAAGGAATTTTAACTGTTATTCTCTCCTTAGGAACTATTTATTCAAACTACAGTTCAATATTTACGCAAGAAAGCTCCGCAATTATCTTCCAAAGATGAATCAAATTATAAACCGATAGTCAACATTGAAATCATTAGCATTCTCTTAACTGTTCTTCAACTAGCATTGCCATCGTTAACAAATCCTGACTTAATCCAAGAAATTCAAACAATGATTGCAACTGCAAAAATTCTGAATAATATAAATCCAACTCGTCCCGATACATTACACAATCCTCTTGCTCATCCATTCACACCTCCGCCAGCAGCTACAACATCATTACCAACTCAGCTTCGTCCGTTACAAAGTAAATCATTTTTCTCGATTGTCGCTTTTTTACATTGCACGAAACAGCATCCATAGTAGAGGATGTATATGTCGATAGAAATAGCTAACCAAAGAACGAGAACAAAACAACGCGGTCGAGAGAAAGAGAAAGAAAAGAGAAAAAACGAGATTCGTCCAAACATTTACCATTATAAACTAGTATAGTTTTTTTTTGACAAAATCATGCACTAGTCTTATTCGCTCATCATTATCGAGGGCCTATATACATACATCTATTCGACGATGATCGAATAAAACTGCAGAGAAAATTTCAGTCAAGATATCTCATAGAAAATAACGATGGATCAAAGTAAGAGAATTTTCAATTCTGTTTCTTTTCTTCTTTCTCTGCGAACTTATTTTTTATTCTTTTCTGCATAAGGTTCAGCGACTAATGATCTTTCACCAATGAATGAAATTTCCGATGTTGATGTTTATTTCAAGCGCTTATACTCGAAAACAACGAATCCGCCACCCATATCTGTTGATGAATTTCTGGATATACTGAAAAAATGTAAAGAATCGCCTATTCTACGCGAAAGAGTAAGTGCCGAATTAAATATTCAAATCGTGCACCGTTTGTCCCACTCATCTTTTAAAGGAAGTTTTTCAAAATGGTATTAAAAATTTATTCGAAGAATACAAATTCTATTCTCAATATCCAGAAAGAG